AATATTTTTGTCTGCAATTTTGAAGGGCCGCACTGTATTAGGAGTGTTCACATCTTGAACAAGACCAAGGAAAAGAAACTTGAAGTTATAAACCTGCAGAAGGATCTGAACATCTTTCTGTAATATCCAGTTAAAATGTACACCTTCTCCACCTGTCTCAGGAGGCACAGTAGCCTACACAGGACAGTCTGATTCTGCTTAATGCAAGTTATGGGGAAGGTCCAGAAAATCTAAGAAGTCAGGAAGAATTTTTTTTTTCCCCCCTCAAAGTTTGGTGGAACTGAACAAAATATCAGTCTGCTCATTCTTTGAATCTGAGCGTAATCAAATACTAATTTTAACTAGATCTCAGTGTCAGAGAAGCCCTATATCCACAAAGACCAGATCCAAACAATACACATCAGCACCTAAGCATGCACATCAGCTGCACAGCATATGGAATCCAGAGTGGAATTTTCCAGCAGGGGAACACCTTTAAGTTACCAGTTTCCCATTCTAATTCCTGCCAATTATTCGACTGGATTTGTAATCTTCTACCTCTTTTTTTCATTGGGAAAACACTTCTCCAAGGCACAGTTCTATTCAAAAAATTCACAGCATTAACACGGTATCCGATCAAGGTAAATTCTAAGTACCACTCACCACCTTGCTCAAACAGCTAACGTTGTAGAAAATCACATTTTCACGAAGATTTCCCTCCGTATTTGATCACTGTGTGGGTTTATTACATAAAGGTAAAATTTCAACACTCTCTCCAATGCAGTTAGCACCACGTAATGCTGTAAAGTGTAGTAGGATGGAAAGTACAGCAATAGTAGCAGAGTAGCACAATGCTAGGCTGCAGCAAATTCAGCAACCACAGATACATAAACAAAAGAAAAAAACTGCTTACCTTTGAAAGGCCTCGGGTAGGCAGGGGTCTCCAGCAAGATACCCTTGCCTCCACTGTCAACCCTTAAATGAGGTCTGAGAAGGGGTGGATCCGATCACTCAGGCACACTGCATGCAGCTGAGCTCCTCTGGGTTGACCGTGCCTTCCCACCAGGTGCTCAATCACTGGTTCAGGCTGTGACTCAACATTTCTGCTATACGTCATTACACAAAGGAGCAGAGTATGGAATATATTTAGACCAAACAATTTTATCAGTCAAATAAATAAAAGTATATGTAAACAATGGGCTTCAATGCATCTTCTTGTCATGTCTCTTCTCCATTATGAATTTGAATAACATAATGCTAAGTGATTCTATCAAATTCTACAATTCTATCCAATTCTACAAGCCGGATTTTTGAACTCTAAATCCAACTACCCACAGGAATGTGCAGAAGGGTTGAAGAAAACATCATGGCCATAGGTCAAAGGAGTACTCTGAAACACTGTGGATTGCTGCGGGGAGAGCAGCAGAAGTCAAGGGTAGCAATGAGAAGTGTAATGAACGTGGAGTGCCTGCTATGCCAGTCAGCATGTCTACACAGATTGCTCCTATAGCCACAGACAGCGCTCTTAAGATTGAGTTTTCTCTCTGGCATTGAAACACGTATTCTCTGAGGGAAATACAACAGGATATAAACGTAAGATGTGCCGAAATCAGCCAAGGGATCTACAGAATGGTTCACATGCCAAAAAAGCTAATGCTAGAAACCAGGTTAACAAGGGAAGGCCCTGGGGCAGAGTCAGGAAATTGAAGCATACCAGTTGTTTTTCTCTCTGCTACTTCATATCTTATACAAAACAAAGGACATCAACTTAAAAGACAAATGAAAAGAGAGGTGACACCAGTCATTTGACAAAACAGAGAACAAAACTGTGCCAGTAGTCAAGTTTGGGTTACTCCAAAACACTTCAAAAGCAGTTACGAAATCATGCTAAACTTAAATGCTCAAAGGAAACTTGTGGCGGGTCCCAGTTTTCAAGGCTGGCCCCAGTCTCTGCAGGAGGGAGAACCCAAGCACTTCTAAAGGAGCAAGATAGCAGTGCTACAATTCAAGGCTATCTTTAGCTCCAGCAAGCTGAGAACTATTTGCTGGTTATCAAAATAGTGCATGCATAAATGAGAGAAACAGGATGTGGCAAAACGACCAGAATCATTTAAATTTTATTCTGAATCAAGACTCTGCCAGTCTCCATACCGTATATGGAACATTTCCCCTGCAGGTGCAAGAAGTTTCTGTAGGATTTGCTCTTGCATGTAGCATCCCACAGACTAATATTTTAATAGATGCAACGGTTGATTAGTTGATTTTTTTTTCTGGTGTGGGGGGTAGGGAAGAGAGAAGGAAGAAGAAGTGGAGAAAAGACTGCAGGTTGGGGGGAAGGGATGTTCTTTCCCTCTCAGAGGCCCAGCTGTACAAACCATATGTGGTAATATAACAAACCACCTGGTCAAAGCATAAGCAAGTTAAAGAATGTAAGGGAGAAAGGCATGAGTTATTTCACTGGGGAGTAGTCTATTCTCAAAGAGAGAAGGGAGAATTGATTTTCATGACAGGAGATAAAGCTCAGCAGATAAAACTGGATACTACTTGATCTGCCAACAGAAAACACAAACAGCAACCTCGCTGAAGGAGGAAGGGAGAAGGCCCTGACAGCCGCCAGGCAGGTGCCGTTCCAACAGCAGTATGAAGAAGTCCAAACGGCCGCTGAGATGCACAGAAGTATTACTTGCTTGATACGAACAGCCCCTGTTGCAGTTTCCACAGTGGGCCTCACGTTCAACAGCCGCTCTAAGTTGCATATAATGTAGTATGTATGTTTCTAAGAGAACTTCTTAACTGGAAAAGGAGGTTAACAGTTTGTGTTCACATATGAAAAGGAAAGAGCTGCTTTGAAAACATTTATAGGTCCTTCCTCTGTCCTTGAGCCACACCTAAATGCTTTACTTCTGAAAAGCTACTATGAGCCCAGACCACCTGGTGAAGATTTAACTGATTCGTTGATTCATAAATGATTTCGCTGAAGGCAGAACTCTGCCAGCTAGAGATTCCCTACAAACCCCTGTCCTTCATATATTCAGTTCTCAATCTAGTTTGGAAGTAGGCCTATCACAAATGTTATGAAACATCCCATGGATTAATGCACCCATTCTGATGGCTTTTGAACAAAACATCAGAATCTAAGCAAGAGATCCCTAACTATAGAGAAGACTGGTTTGAATGGAACGAATGAGGAGAAGGAAGAAGATAAATGCTGCTGTTCCTCGTTTGCCTGACCATGAGTCAGAACAGTTTATAGTGTCAGACTCAGGTAAGCTGTCAATTCAGTGGATGACGTTTTGTCAGCCACTCATCTTCCTAGCATTTTTTTTTACCCATCATAAAGTTGGGCAAAAGCAGGCACCTTTCCTGAAAAAAAAAACAACAAATAAACTAGCCTCTGAGCCAGGTGAATATGCAAAGACAAAAACATTCTATCAAGCAAAAAAATGCCTCACTTTGTTCCAGTTTGAGATAGCTTGTCATCATCACAGGAAATAAAAAAAGTCCAGCTAATAAAGTCTGCATGAATCACATTCTCTTTGGAACTTCATGGAAGTCTGTAAGCAAGAGTTCATTTCCATGTGCCTGCTGCATAGACAGCCAGTTGCACTGGGTCTGTTCTCAACTCATTTACAGTATCTTACCAGTTCTTATGGTTTGATTTTACATTTAGTGCAATGTGGTGTTCTTCATCAAAGTTCCGCTCCAGAGCCACATTTACACAACTGTAGCCTTCATAAGCATAAAAGTGTTTCTAACTCTTGAATTTGCAGAGAATACTTTGGATTTGTACTGTACAGGCTATAGACCTAAAAGACAGACATTCAAAAAGGCGCTATTAAAAAAATTAAATCACAATTTTTGACCTTCCTCTGGAGATGAAAAGCATCTGCCTATGACACAGTTTTCAAAATCAGCAATGCTACAGCTAGAGTTAAAAGTTCCCCTACATGGGGGGCTAAGCAGCAGCAGTCATAGCCATGTAGAATAGGCTTCTGTTTTGTTCAGCCCAACAAACTAAATAAGAACTTCTCGGACTCCCATCTCTTATTAAATATTACTGGGAAATGATTTTCTCACTTATGGTGTTCTGGAAGACATTTGTTGTCATCTTCCACAACACCACAAAAACTTAAAATTTCAAAAATGAGCACAAGCTGACAATACATTAAAAAAAAATTGTATTTAATTGAGTATGGTGCTTCACTTTGATTTTAACCTTTGGGTTCTTATGAATTAAGTCATTTTCATGTAAAAGGAAATAAACTAAAAACTACTAAAATTGAATAAAGCTATTTGTTCCATTGTTTTTCTGGGAAACACTATCAATTCTTTCATTTAGAAAATTAATCAAAAATCAATTGAGTTCTGTGAACTGGATTGATTTTGATGATTTGGTATAGTTTACCCCAAAATAATTAGTCAAAAAATTCCCTGCTCTTCTCTAATTTCCAAATCACTGCCCCAGAAACTCCATGCTGCCTTTACTCAACTCACAAGGTGTTCTCATAGCATTCTGCTTTTAAGCAACAACTTAAGCAGGGTTCAAAATAACTCTTCAATTAGGAGGGACTGCATTTATACGGATCTCAGACATTCTGATTACGGACACGTGACTACCTAAAAATTACAGTTCAAAAACGTTCCACTGAGTGCTTGCATTTTCCCTTCAAGGTGTTAGAGTCAAGAAAATACAGAACACATGGGAAATCCAGAGAAGGAAACAGCTGCCCAACTAAAAGACTCCATCTTTAACCATACTTTTCAGTTCTTCTTACTTCTCATCTTTCTCTCCACTAATACCATTGAACTGAAGCAAAGTCTATGCATCTTTGTTAAGCATCTATAGTAAAGCTAGAGTCAAAATCCATCTTCACCTTTCTCCACACAGCTCTCCTTGACAGTCATTTGCTCTTACATGTATGGTGTGGATGGCATTTGTGAAGTACTGGGGGGAAGCATTTCAAATCAGTTTCCTGTGAACAAGCAGCCATGGTGTTTCACTAGAAACACCAGAGAATTACCTCCTTTGGAGAAAAGCCATAGGCTTAAAGGTGTTGCGGAGCACAAAGTTATCTTCTCGCTTCTTTGAATGAATGATGGTTCTTTGATCTTTTTAGACAAGATGAGGCAGTCTTGGAAGATCTTGCCTGTAAACACCATAGAAAAAGGAAGACCTTGTAGCCACCAAAACAGAAGAAAGTGTGATTATTTTCTTCCTTCATCCCCCACTCCTTGCCTAAATTTAATAGGTCAGTAAACAGCAAATCCCACTGAAGTAAGTCATTTACCACTAGCAGAAGACTTCTCCTCCACCTCCTAAATCTAAAAACTAATTTTTAAATCCACTATAAGGGAGGTGCCCTCAGCAGACTGTACCTGAGTCAACTGCACACATACATGTGCATGCATAGAAGCAATCTCTAGTAATCATGACGCATACATGATAATTACAATTTGTCCCAGTAAGTCCTTTTAAGGCTTTTTACAAGCACTCATCATGTAACCCTTAAAATGCTACTTTAGCGCATGTAAGATTTATTGTTCTCCTTATATAGGAAGTGAAAAAGAGTTGCTGAGTAGTTAAACAACCTGTCCAAGAACGCTAAGGATACAACAAATAAATGTAGGGTGCTTTGACTCATTGTGCCTGAAATCTAACTGCCAGGCATGATTCTCATGCTTGTTTCTCCAGGCAGCTTGCAGAATTCATTAACGTTTTCAGGAAACACATGATCTGAGTTGTCAAAAGGATTTTCCTGCCCAACTTGACTAGACAGACAAGAGGAAGGAGACTCTTCTTTTATGTGCTGATATCTCAGCCTCAATTTTCCTGTCCTAATGGTATTCTCAGAGTTCAAGAAGAAAGAAAGACAGGTTGCTAAGCTTTCTGGAGCTTCAGCCTAGCAAAGAAGTATCCCCTTACAGCTTCAGGTGTTCAGTGATAAGTGGAAAGTCTCACATTATCTACCTTTACCAAGTGTCAGGTGAGAGGGTCAGAGGTTATGTTTCAGTTTAAAAGCCTTGTCTTCACAGAAAATGAGAACAGTTAGGCAACATGTTCTACAAGTGACTGAGAGGAGGGTGAAGGGAGGTGTGGTAAAGGCTTCATAAAGTTCTTTTCAAATTAAGAGCTCCTGACAGAAATGCAACCATTATCATTGCATTGCTACCTACAGTGTGTCCAGCTCAGCCACTATTGCTCTGTAGTTGTATCTTTTTTTCTGGTATTATGTTTTTCTTACATTATTACTTTTTATTTCTCCATACAGTACAGTTTTTTCCAAGAAAAAATGTTTCAGACTCAAGTCTCAGCACTTTGGAATAAATGATCAGAAATGAGAAATACAGCATTCTATCCCACACAAAACCTACTGCTTCCAGCATGCACTCAGAGTAACTCTATTGACACAGCTTACTGCCAATAAATGCACAAAAGTGAAGTCTACAGTTCTGAGCAAAGAAAATCTAACAAAGTTAAACATACTGCATGTGTTCCTTATTCTAAGGAAAAGGGTGTTACGTGATTAATACTAGTCTGTTCCGAAAACGTAAGACTTGCAAGAACTCCATTATTTTCTACTTATGTTCCCATTAGATCTCTCTCAAGAGTCTATTACAAATTCCCCAAACTAAACACACGTGGCATAGACAGCTTTCACTTACCATAGTCAAAAGAACAGATTAGGAAAGAAATTACCTCTTGAGAATGTGTGTTTCATACACCATAAGCCATGGTCACTGGAGGCAATCTGGGTTATAATAAACACTGCTGTCCTCTAGAAAGGAATTATGAGGACCTTCCCCAACTATGCCCACCACATCCATGAACTGTAAGAGAGTCACTCTTAGGCAACTCTTTCAATGGGAAGGAGAGAAGGAGCAAAGACTGAGCTAACTTCCTTTAATATTAGTAGAAATCACTCCCGCCATGTGAAAGAGCTTCCTTATTTACAGCCATGGAGAGCTGAAGGAAGCCATCCACCTTACTAGTTCCGGGACATGTCTGTCAGCAAGCCTTGCCATCAAGCTCTTGTGTTGTTTAAATGTATGCTGCAAAGAACCTGGCTCCATCCCCCTGGTGACTTCTTCACAAGTATCAGAAGGCTCCTCTTCATTTTCCCCCAAAGCTGTCTCTTCCCCAGGCTGAACATGTCCAGTTTTTTTCTCATTTAATGACATTAAAAAAATGTTTTGCGAAACCAGTCTGAAGTTATTTTCATTGTTTCCTCCATCCTGTTTTATGTAAAAGCAACTGAAGAGACAAACCATCAATAGCACCACTTTCAGACTACCGTAAGCCTCAGTATACCCTAGGTTACATGTGACAGGGGAGCAGCTGCCTGCAACAAAGAGCTGGATGAAATTATGCAGGTAGATGTCATGTATTGGGAACACGTGAGCTCTTATAGACCTGCATCTCCAAGAAGACTGATAGTTGTGAGGAACTGTAATAAACACACACAGTATACATATACTTTCATATATTAAAAATATATTAGTATTATATAAATAATGTCCAGACAGGCATGTTTTGTCATGCTTAACACAAGCACAAAAGCCAGCAACTCCTAAATGTTATTTAAATCTTTCTAAAATCCCAAGCTTGTGACTTCATCCCTCTCTCAGTTCTCTAATTTTAAAAATGGGAATAACATCACTTGGACCCATCACAGGAATTTCCTGTATTAGAACTGGTGCACTGCTTTGAAGATGTGAGCTGCTATTCTGTGTACCTTAGTTCAAGGCATGGAGTGGACAGTGAGGTGTATCATAATTGCAGACCTTCCTGAGTATTTCTGCACTACACACACAGCCACACAGTAATGATTAAGCATGCAAAATCCTGACCAGCGTGCACTGGATTCAATATAAAGCCTGGTAAGTCTCTTCACTGGCTCCAGAAAACTCCTCAGCACAGTTATTTCAAATAGAACTCCTTTCATGAAACTTCTCTCCCACTCACAGCTTCAGTGCATGTCCTGAAACTCCCAGCAGTATTTAAGCTGAGGCTGTAAGACAGACAAGTCTGTAATGACCAGAAGCACATATAGTGCATGCTGTGGATCCTTTCTTAAGGAGGTACGCTGGGCCAGGAGCAGCAAAGGCAGGAATCTGCAGCATGCCATGCAGAACCATCCTGTCCTTCAGCAAAACGTCCAGTGCCAATTTTGGAGCCCTCTCCTGAGCAAAGGACAGAACAAAACAGGGTGGTAAAGTCAGCTACAAATTTCTGCAAGAAACTGTGTAGCGTTCTCTGGTATGCTTTTTGGGCAGAATAGACAAGCACTGCTACCGTCTGTAATTGGATAGGTATGCCCTTATGGCAGTGCAACACCTATGGCAAATGCTGACCTTCTATAAAAGTTTTCCTGCCAATGAACTACTTTTATTCTCCACCCTTGAAGGCGGACAGTATGAGGCGCATGTTCTGCCTCTATGCACTTCTGAATTCTGGGCTGGGCTTCTGTATTCCTTTGTCTCATATCTATGATGTGAAAGAAAAGAGTATGTTTGCTACTCACTGTTGCAAAAATGAGAAAGCAAGAATGAAACAGTCATTCAGGACAACATGAAGGGTTGATTCTTAAGCCTGTATTTTATGTACCAGTAGAGCCCGAGGCTAGTCTAAGCCCTCAGCACACCTTGTGGTGTTGTTAACACCTGATCAAAACATTTCAGGTTTCAAGCTGAAAGATCTTACATGCCTTCTTTGCGAGCAAACCACCACATGGCAAAAAACAGAGGTTGAGGCTCAGTTAACAAGTCCTCATTTATACTGTTCAATTCAGAAAAGAAGAAAAAAAAAAAAAAGAAAGAAAGAAAAGAAAAAAGAAGAAACTACTGAAATTACTGTAGCAGAGACAGATGGACAGTAAAGCTGGGAAACTGCTGCATTTGGTGATGTTATACGTTGAGCGCTGTTGTGGAAGTTATGACTAAGTCCTTTCAGGTCACACAAATCTGCAAGAACTTCTCCTATAGTCTGTCAGAGGAGAGCAAGGAGGGAGAAGAGGTGCTCAGGTCATTTTAACCACTTGAATGTAGGCAGGCTCAGAGAGATTTACCCTCAGAGGCTTCTCTTGGGGGCCTCTGTCAAATATAGTGGGAGCAGTATCCACTCCGTACTCACAAGCAATTTATTCACAAGTGATGGGATTACGTTTCTCAGACACTACAGATTCCAAGAGAAGGTAGTAGGGGGAAACAGCACTGGAGAGGGAATCTCTTGGAAGCAAACAGCGCCTCTGATGGCAGTACTGGGTCTCTTCAGGCTGTGTGGTCGGGTTATCCCGATAAAGTTTCCACTGTAGACTCTTAGAATATGCAGAAAATCCAGCTTTGAAAGATGTTGCCAGAATAGGATTCTGAATAAGGCAGATAAGAGGTCTGATCTGGCATGACAAATCCTGCTTAGCAAGTCAAGGGTTAAGTCTATGAACCAGAGGAAAAGGATCCTTGCTTCTGCTTCCTCCCAGAGCAGTAACCCACAAACTTCAAAGTGACAGTTGTGCAATTCTTTTTGCACTGCAACACGCTGGTGCAGAGCCATCACTAACACTGCCTCCTGCCCTTTCCAGCAAGGCCATTGCCACCTCATTTCCCACCTCCACGCTGCAGTGGAAGGAGATTGGAGAGAAAGGCATTTCCATTAGCAGAGGCAGGAAGAGTTATTAGATCCCCAAAGTGGTGTAGCTTCTAAAAACCTGCACACAGCAAGGGGTCTCCATACCACACCTCTCCTCAGGATCAGAAACACAATTGTCATCCGTTTTGGCATTTACAGCTGAGGCTGTATTTGCCTTCTCCTTGCCATGAGTGCCCTCTCTCTACAATTCTTCCCAAACTCCCCCTAATCACTTTTTCACCTAGGGCTGGAAAGTAGGCCTTGCTGATTTCTTGCAGGCTTGAGTCCTCTCCTCAATCAAACTCCCACCATGATGCCCAAGGATGTCACACCAGGCCCTACAGGCTCCTCCCTCCTCCAAGGAGCTCCACAGCTAACCAGCTGCTCTCATAGGTTTCATTTGCTTTCCGGTGCCCATCCTGCTGTTTAGCAGTGACAAGGACCAGCTGTAATTGACAGCTGCAAGCTCTTTGGGTCAGAGACTGCACAGTTAGTGCAATGAGTTGACAGTCTACTGGAAGC